ATATATATATTACTCCTATGAGATTAATGTAACAATGCTGACTCAACTCTTCAAGTTTTGTTACCAAATTAGATATGCTCAGATAAGTTTGCAGTCAATGCCTAAAGTAGTTTCCTGTTGTTCAGCAGTTATAATGATGTCATGCAACGCAGCAGAGCATTGGAGTCTATTCCTGGCATGTCTCAAAGCAAGGGTGTCATTATTTTGTAGTTAGGGTCTCCATGTTTTTTTTTTCAATGTGTCAAGCCAAGTTTTACTAATTAAAATTTATGAATTATAGCAGAGGGAAGGCCGTAGTTCCTGTGGGTTATTATACTTATTTAATGTAAGACATTTTGAGTAACTGTCTTTGACAATAATTCCCTCTACCTCCCTATTTCTCACTTATTTAATTCCCTGTCACTTTGCTTAGCTGGGACTCTGCTGTGCCAGGTTTCACCTTTTCAGACATGTTCATCCAAGTGTCGACTCGACTGTCATCCGAGTTTGTGTACGGATTCGGAGAAACAGAGCATCCCACCTATAAACATGATCTCAACTATCACACTTGGGGCATGTTCTCCAAGGACCAGCCTCCTGGTGTAAGTATCATACTAAATCACAGCACTGCTGCCAACATGCACACTCATTAAAAATGAATATAGCAATCCGCCAGGAATGATTCAATTGGCATTTCTATTTTTACCTTTGATGCAAAGATTACAAGCATATTACCTACCTCGAGGAATCTCTGAAAACACATTAAATCACACAGTTGTCCCCTCTAAACAGTATTTTTCACCCGTGAATTTTAAAGCTTTGCAAGCTGTGTCCTAACTATTTTATGCTTGCCGTGTATCATTACATCACCGTGCTGAACATTTTTTTTAAATCACACCCTCAAGAGACTGCAGAGGTGACTTGTAAACAACCTTCCTGCACAGTACGTAAACTTGTCTTTCTCTCAGCCATGTCACTTTGATGTTGTTCTGTTGATATGAGGTACACTTTTGGAGTGTCATCGTGTTTTTTTTTTTCCCTAAACAGTGTCAAGGCCATACAGGACAAGGTTTCTACCTGGATCAGCATTATCAAGCATAATTGCTGAGACAGCTCCACAGGGTTCACATAAATGTTATGGGGCTCCTGGGAGAGCAAAATTGGATTAAAGTTGAGGGGGAAAAAGACAAAAAAAAGTCTGCATTCACACTCTCTTTGATATACTTCAACGTGTTTGATCATCTAAAATAGGCATGATCCAGGATGAGATTCTGATGGTATAACATTGAGCCAAAATACAGCAGTGCCAGAATTGGAATTTGTATTAGGTTATCTCACTGCATTTATCTAAAAACATAAATTCAACTACTATTACTAAAGTAGTTTAAATTATATTACATAATCACGTATGTTTTGATTAGATTACAAAACTATAATAATATGTTAATGTTAAGGGTCAAGCCATATCATTTATGTTTGTGTGGAATTTATTTTGAATATATCTATCATCCTCAGCCCTAACCCTATATTAAACATCAAGACTGAAATCCAATTTTATTCAGATTATATAAACAAACATGAAATTACATCAAATTTAAAACAATGTAAGCCAAAACACCAGAGAGCAAGCAGGTCAAATTAAACATATTTAGATTTTTTTTTTTAATTTTAAACAGAAGTACACCAAGATGGGACACTCAACAAAGATGTAAAAACAAAACTGGGTTGTAAGTTTTGGTCATTAAACTTACTTATTGAACATTTTTTTTGTTTGCTATTGTGCTCTTTGTAATGTTTAAGGAGCCTAACAAGCTTATGTTAACTAGTTATTTAGTTATAGTAATGAACCATCAGTTGGCTTTTAATTTCATAGATAAACATGCTAACATTCTTGTAACTTGCTGTAAACACTTGTTTCAAAACAGTGTTACCTAAAAGTGTTGGCACTTCTTGTAGACATGCCATGAGTAACTGTGTATTTGGAAACATTTAAAATTGTTCTATTATTTATTTTATTTTAGTTTATTCTTCTACAAGGAAATGTTTTGTTGAATTCCCAGCCATCACGCAGCTGTCTAACACATTCTCATATCGGACTTGTCAACATGTTGAGGCTTGGGCAGGGACCATCTGTATCCAGTTTTGATGCYTCGGGTACCCCACACATCAGTCCTTGCCTCCCGCAGCTTTTCCGGGTTGCGTTACTTAGGGGTCTTTGGGTTGGAGGTCTGAGGTTAACGTGAGGGATCAGGATTAATGGTTAATTTGAGATACRGGCGTCAGGGATAGGCTGTATATACAGTGGTTTGCAAAAGTATTCATACCCCTTGAACTTTTCCATATTTTGTCACATTACAACCAAAAACATAAATATATTTCACTGGAATTTAATGTGAAAGACAAAGTGGTATACAATTGTGAAGTGGAAGCAAAATTTTACATGAATCAAAACATTTTTTACAAATAAAAAACTGAAAAGTGCGARGTGCAAAAGTATTCAGCCCCCTTTTCCCTGAGTGCAACCAATTGCATTCAGAAGTTGCCTGATGACTGCTAATGACTCAAAAGGGTCCACCTGTGTGTAATCTAATCTCAGTACAAATACAGCTGCTCCGTGACGGCCTCAGATGTTGGTTAAGAGAATATTGGGGAGCAAACAGCATCATGAAGTCCAACGAACACACCAGACAGGTTAGGAATATGGTTTTGGAGAAGTTTAAAGCAGGCTTAGGTTATAAAAAGATTTCCCAAGCTTTGAACATCTCACGGAGCACTGTTCAATCCATCATCCGGAAATGGAAAGAGTATGGCACCACAGTAAACCTGCCAAGACAAGGCCGTCCACCTAAACTTACAGGCCGAACAAGGAGATCACTGATCAGAGAGGCAGCCAAGAGGCCCATGGTGACTCTGGATGAAATGCAGAGAGCCACAGCTCAGGTGGGGGAAACTGTCCACAGGACAACAATTAGTCGTGCACTACACAAATGAGGTCTTTATGGAAGAGTGGCAAGGAGAAAGCCATTGTTAAAAGAAAACCATAAGAAGTCCCGTTTGCAGTTTGCCAGAAGCCATGTTGAGGACACAGCAAACATGTGGAAGAAGGTGCTTTGGTCAGACGAGACCAAAATTGAACTTTTTGGCCACAATGCAAAACGCTATGTGTGGCGGAGAAAGAACACTGCACATCACTCTGAAAACACCATCCCCACTGTCAAATATGGTGGTGGCAGCATCATGCTCTGGGGGTGCTTCTCTTCAGCAGGGACCGGGAAGTTGGTCAAAGTTGATGGGAAGATGGATGGAGCCAAATACAGGGCAATCTTGGAAGAAAACCTGTTGGAGTCAGCAAAAGATTTGAGACTGGGGCGGAGGTTCACCTTCCAGCAGGACAACGACCCTAAACATAAAGCCAAAGCTACAATGGAGTGGTTTAAAAAAAGAATATTCATGTGTTAGAATGGCCCAGTCAAAGTCCAGACCTAAACCCAATTGAGAATTTGTGGCAAGATCTCAAAACTGCTGTTCACAAACGCTCTCCATCCAATCTGACTGAGCTTGAGCTGTTTTGCAAGGAGGAATGGGCAAGAATTGCAGTCACTAGATGTGCAAAGCTGGTGGAGACATACCCTAAAAGACTTGCAGCTGTAATTGCAGCAAAAGGTGGCTCCACAAAGTATTGACTCAGGGGGGCTGAATAATTTTGCACATCGCACTTTTCAGTTTTTTATTTGTAAAAAATGTTTTGATTCATGTAAAATTTTGCTTCCACTTCACAATTGTATACCACTTTGTGTTGGTCTTTCACATTAAATTCCAGTGAAATATATTTATGTTTGTGGTTGTAATGTGACAAAATATGGAAAAGTTCAAGGGGTATGAATACCTTTGCAAACCACTGTAGCTAATATAGGTTAAATTTAGGGTCTGGGATGGTTAGTTCTCTCGAATTCTCTACATTAAAAAAATGGTTAATATGAGGGATCAGGGTTAATGGTTAATTTTAGGGTCTGGGGTCTGGGAAAGGCTGTATATGGCTAATAGAATTTAAATTTAGGGTCTGAGATGGTTAGTTTCTCGCATTTTCTACTCTTGTAAAAAAATATGGCAACGCTCTCGTCCTCCTCCACCACATCTCCTAAAGAACGGATGCGCAGGGGGTACCCGGCACATCAAAACTGGACACAGACGGTTACCTGACCAAGCGTCAATATGTTGATGCGGGGGGCATGAGAATGCATTGGACTGACACTTTACAACAACAAAAGAGGGCAGGGATGCACAACTCAGTACTACACATGGAGCAAATAAACCTAACAGTGTCTGACATCWGATTAAACAGAGCTTCAACTTTGTGGTAGAAATATTTAGTAGTTTTGACAATGTGACTTTTTATGACCATGGAATCCTTTGAAAGCAGATTTATGTCCATCTAAAAGCAGTTTATTTGCATTGTAAATAGAAGTGTGAAAGTTGGGAGTATTTGCCTTTTATTGTGATATGGGCTTTTTTAGTTGAGTTTCCCTTTTTTTAGAAGACAATATTAAAAATGCTTACACAAGTTTGCACATGTTGTTAATGAGGTAAATGAATGACCTTTTCCCTCTTTGCGCTGTCACCATCACTCCATATAGCATGGACACAATGGCACAAAAAAGAAATTCACACATCTAAACAAATCAATAAAAAGGAGAATCAGCCCTCAGAGCCACTGAGCTGGAGTTTAACAGCTTGTTAAGTAGCAGAAGTGCAAGTGGTTGATAGATAGTGAAGTGCCCATGAGTTATCATTGCAGGACGATGATTTCTGAAAGTGGCAGTTTTCCTCCCCTCCAACACCTTTCTATCAGCTTTTTTACACCACCTGTCTAGTTCCATTCTTGTCTAAAATCTCAACATCGGTACATTCTCAAGAATTAGCCTGAGCATCAGTCAACAGCATCTGTTATTAATTCAGTGTAAAGTTCTGTCTGCGGAATTACATGAAGTCAACTTTTACGCAAAGTGCTTTTGTCTGTTTCTTTTCTGATTGTTGAATCCAATGGTACACTTGCATGATTGTGAGAAAACCAAGAGCAATCCACAGAACACACGGAGGGCAGCATGGCCATGGTTTAACAGTTTTACACTTATAATATTATTTTTTTCTCTCTCTGCTTCAGTACAAGTTAAATTGTTATGGTGTTCATCCCTTCTACATGGGCCTTGAAGACACAGCAGATGCTCATGGGGTACTGTTGCTAAACAGTAATGCCATGGGTAAGACCCTTTTCTTCCTTTCTTTCTTTTCTGCACAAACCACTTTATTTTCTCATTTCAGTAACAACCATCCATTGGTATAATAGAGCCGATTGCTTTTTAATTGATGCTAACTACGGCAAATGACTTCCAAATCCTGACCTCAATTTAAGGCTGTTTAACCTTGGAACCTACAATTTTAAGCACACACTACTTAACCATTTTGTTTAGGAAGTTCACCATAGACCCCAAAAGCTGTGGTGTAGCTGTTGGGAGCTTATGAAAATTAAATAGACTAGCATTTGAACTTCTAAATTATTAAATGAAAGAACAAAAATAACCATTACTTAAAACTCTCTAATAGGTCTTAATTAACTTCAATGTTTTGTTTGTGTCAAGATGTTACATTCCAGCCTACTCCAGCTCTAACCTACCGCACCATTGGAGGAATTCTGGATTTCTACATGGTCCTGGGACCAACTCCTGAAATGGTTGTGCAGGAGTACACTGAAGTAAGTTTAGCAGAGACCTATGCTTTGTTTTGTTTATGTGTCAGTGCCTGTGTGAGCATGTGCATTTTGATCTGTCCCTGAGTCGGAGCAGCTGGGAATTTCCTGCTTCGCTGCACTTTTTCGTTTAGCCAACCTAAACACACACAGGCAAACACAGAAACAAACATTTTATGACATGTTATTTTTTTTTCAAAGCAACTATTTTGCTGTTTTTTTACTTCCTTGTTTGATTTTCTGTTAACAGCTGATTGGACGACCTGTTCTACCTGCTTATTGGTCTCTTGGGTTCCAACTCTGTCGCTATGGTTATGCCAATGATTCAGAAATTGAAAGTTTGTACAAAGACATGGTGGCAGCTGGCATACCCTATGTAAGTTCCAACGACTTTTAGATATGGTTCAGTAGCACACCATACAATAGGAATGATTATAGCTGTAGTTGTAAAACAATAAAATAATAAAACTCTTTCTTCTTAACTAATAATTCCTAAACAAGTAGCCTTGATTTTACGCCATAATTCATAGATTTTAAAATGTCAGAACAGTCTAATCATTTATGCTTTTATGGATAAAAACATATATTACTGTAGTGGCAGACCACTGGACTCTATGTTATGCAATGTACCAAAAATGTACCTACAGTAGCAGATTTTGACAGCATACATCACTGACATGTCTTACAAACATCTGCTCCAATTTCATCCTAGCATATTTGCCTGTTCTTGCCGAGACATCAATTCTATTCAGATTGTACCTCAGCTAAAATAATCATCCCGTTGTCCTTGTCTAAACAGATCTATTCTGAAAGCTTCTTCCTGTCCACTGAAGGCTGGGATGTACAGACGTACTACCATCAGTAGAACAGACTGAGCTAAATCTAACATACTGCACACTCACATTGGACAGTATAATTACTAAATGTGCACTATAACTATATTAGATGTGATTATATGACCTTGTCAGTAATTTGGATGAAGTAAAATGGACTTGGTGGATTACCTTGGCTACATTGAACATCACCTAATCAAATGTGACCTACAATTGCGTGGAAAATCTATTGTAGGTTTCACCATCTATACATAATTCCAGTTTGTACTAGACTTATCTCTCTTAAATTGCATTAACTTTGAACAATAAGTGACAGGAAGCAAAATTGTAGCAAATAAATGTGATATTTAAGTTTGATGACTTTTATGTAAAACTATGAAGAAAAATCCATCAACCAAACTAGCCTAAATCTTTATTTTGCTGAACAGGAAGCAAGACATTTAATTGATAACTTGTGCTCAGAAAAGCTTTGATCGCTCTAACCTGCAAGCAGCTGGCAGAAGTCAGAAATAACCCAGCATCAATAGGACGGCAGCTCAATGTAAAGCTTTTAAAAAGAAGACATCCTTCAGCTTTACAGACCAGCCAGTCCCATACATCCTCAAAATCAGCAGGCAAGCTTTACCAAATAAAATGTTGTCCTCAAAGAAAGAAATATGAGTAAGAATTTAAACAAAAAAATAAATAAATAAAACAAATGAAGATGCATCACAACAAATGAGAATTTCATGTTTTTATATAATGTATGTTACATGAAACTGAATAACTACCAGTTGAGTGTGCAGCAAACTGTTCAATCAGGTTAGCAGAAAATAATCTCTACTTTAACTCATATCTGCTGCAGGATGTGCAGTATGCAGACATCGACTACATGGAGCGTCAACTTGACTTTGTCCTGGATTCAGACTTTAAAGGACTGCCAGCCCTGGTTGACTCAATGAGAAAAGAAGGCATGAGGTTCATCTTCATCCTGGTAAATCCACACAGCCTTATTGGACACAGCAAATCTGAAGAATCAATCAAGTTTTCTGATTGTATCCATTTTGACTTTATATTGTTCCTTAAAATTAAAGTTTTTTGTTTAAGCATACTTTGTGTCTGATAGCAGTGATAGTACAAATATCTCACTTGTGTTGAATGATTGAAACACTAGTATGCTTGTTTATTTGTGGGTGAATTTGATTGCAGGATCCAGCTATTTCAGGCAATGAAACCAGTTATCCTGCTTTTGAGAGAGGAAAAAATGCTGATGTTTTCATCAAATGGCCCAAAGAGCTCAGTGATGAAATTGTATGGGGAAAGGTGAGAAGGCATAGATAAAACAAAGTTAAACTCCAACATAACAAATGATAAAAAAGGTAGAGATGAGAGGATGAGTTTTACTCAAAATGGTTTGATTTTTGCTTCCTTTTTAGGTCTGGCCTGATTTTCCTAATGTTAATGTAAATGAAAGTCTTGACTGGGACACTCAAGTACAGGTACCTTATTTATTTATTTACTTACTTACTTACTTACTTACCTACTTACCTACTTACTTACTTACTTACTTACTTACTTACTTACTTACTTACTTACTTA